CTTCATCGTAGAACTTTCTCGACAGCCCCGTTTCTCTGTCCATAATTAACAGCTTCCCAACGTGCATCGTCGCATTACATGACGAACAACAAATGTATGAGTGCACATGTGCGTGTGTGTAACCTGCCATTTGTAAAACGCAGGGCTCTTGTCACAGGTAACTACATACCTGAAGTATCTTGTATGCAAATGACCATATCTCATATACTGATACAGGATGAGAAGAAAATTGCTAATTAACATTTATTTTCTAAAAATAAGGCTTTTTAAAATTTATAAAAATTTTCCTTAGTAGTTCCGAGTACTTGCATTCATTGTACATAAAACAGATTATCAAAGGAGAATGAGTAAAATTATATTCTTACAAAACCTCACAGATCACAAATATTTATAATTTAGAGAGAGAATGAATTTTTTAAATCTGTAATAGAGTAGAGTATAATATTCTGTCATCTTTATGAGAAAAAATATATAATTAAATATGATCCTAATCAGTAAAATTATCAGATTTTGGCCTAAATAATGGAACCTTTTTTATGCATGTGTGTGATTTCTTATATTTTTTAATGTGCTGAATCTTTAGCTTGAATAATTTCAAGCTAAACTGATGAAAAGTTATATTGAAAGTTGAAACAAAGATCAGATTTTGACAAAATTGTGCTACTTTTAATACAATATTCCCATTAGATCAATTTGAAATAAATGTTTGCAAATAATCAGCACATCAAAAAAATATAAGAAAAATATAAAAAAAAAATTCGATTGTTTATATCAAAATCTAATAATTTTACTGATTAGGGTCATATTCAATTGTACATTTTTTCTCATAAAGATGACAGAATATTATACCCTACTCTATTACTGATTTAAAAAATTCATTCTCTCTCTAAATTATAAATATTTGTGATCTGTGAGGTTTTGTAAGAATGTAATTCATAAATAATTAATCTTAACATGAATTTCTTTTTTCATCTTAAAAATATAGTTCAAAATGGTTTCTTTCTGCAATTTCTTTTTGTTCCTGAGGTAAATAAAAAGTCTGCTCCTAAAGTTTATTTCCGTATTTCCGGTATTTCAGGAATACCATATATACACATCCGTGTCCAATATTTAGCAGCAGCGTCATATGGTAGCAGACACCTGCTACGCATTGAACGCAGTTACACGCGTTTATACATGGCTGTATAATGGCTACGGGTTTATCGAACGAACGAGGGGAGCACGAGTGTGGGAGCGTGTTATTTCTCGGCACGACCGAGAGACTTTATTCCTGGAGATTTTTCTCCCGCGCCAGGTCGGAGGAAGCCGTTGAGGAGAGAAGTATTGTATTATTTTTCTTTCCACGATGCTCCTCGATATGCATGCGTACACGCGAAACGGAGAATCCGGACAATGGCGGAGGGAAGCGATGAAAATCATGCGTATGGGAAATATACATTATTTAATTTCGCGCATTGCTCGAATTTCAGCGGATTCTGTCATGATTATTACGGTAGACCGCACTATGAATGAAGTGTCATCACCGGAGTGATTATCAATTGGTACGCGCAATCTTAGCAGCATCGTTACGCGGCATCCTACGCGGAATATCATCGGCGATGAAATTACGTATGCTGTTGTATTTAGCTCAAGAAAACCGCGCATTATTGAGCAACGTCCGTTTCGTCAACGTTCTTTGAAATATCGTTCTTTTATATCACGATATATGATGAATAATGAGTGTCGCGACAATAGGCCTCTCGTGTCGGGCGAAGACGAGAAACGTGCACGTTTATTTAATCATATATGAGCCATTTATCTTAAAATTTCATTATTCAAAGGAATCATCACCATAAGTGAAAATTTGTAAGAATTGACTTACAATACGTCATTTAGTTCATACACGGAAAGAATTTTTTCTTACAGTTCTACCAGTTTCTACCATATTTTCAGAGTAAAGTTTAAAAGAAAATTCTCTCCGTGTATAAAAGAATTCATAGAGAAGCATGTATCGCTCATTTATTTATACAACAACGATATAATTAAAAATTGTCATTATTACTTATAAAAGAAGCAATTGGTTATAGAAAAAAGAATGAGAATTAATATAAAGGAAACAAAAGACATTTTTTAAAACTACATATTATTATTTCTGTACAATCAGTTATTATATTCAAATTACATTTCGAAATTAATATTCTAAAGTTTTAATCATTCCAAGCAATCAAACTTATTTTCTAGAAAACCTTGTTTCTTGAATTGTGTCGTTGTTGTATATAATAAGTGATATGTAATGATAACAAAACATACAAATTAAACAAAATATAACATCATTTTGATACTAAGATTTTAAAAAGTTAAAAATTAATTTTTCGCCTATTTAAAGCTTCAATAGAATAATCCAGACGATTCCGGAATGGAGAATACGTAATAATAAGTGAGAAGCGGTATACGCGCAAGCGATAAATTGCTCTCGTTAACGAGAATGAAGGAAACATCGCGTTGACGCGATTGCGCAAAGAGTAGATGGACTTCGTAGTAGAAATTATGTGCGATTCTCGAGAAGAACGCCGCATTGAAGTCGAAGGCTGAGACTATCTCCGCAGAGCTGCCGCTGTAACTATTAGGCAAGATAGAAACAGGTCGGCGAGAAGTAAAGGTAGACGAGGAAAAGCAGTACGCGTAACGCAGCTGTAAAAATGAGCTGCTGGAATTAATTGACTCGATATATAGAGAGCCGTATGCTCTGAATTGGGTCAAACCCGTTACTACTCCGTAAAACGCGTTTTGATTATACTAGGCTGATATGAATGAACGAAGGAAATGTTTCTGGCTCCTTGAATATATTTAATACGCTCTACTTGCGACGCGGAACCGTTGAAATCCTCTCGATGCTGGAAATACACTATTCGTCGTGAAAAACAACATATTTCACAACAATGATAATTGTGCATCCTTGATCCGTCTTGGAATGACATGAACGTTTCTTGAGATGTGTAAAAAAGAAGTGTAAGTATAATTTATAGCTATAAAGTATAATTATAGCTATAAATTTAGAAAAGCTGATTAATCTTGTTAATCGACATAACTTGCGTAATGTAAAAATGATGTCATCATATATTATGGTTATTTTTGCGTAGTATCTTTAAAAGAAAAATATCTTCGATTATCAAATATTATACTCATTATATTACATATTTATTTATCGAAAGGATCTTATTTTATTGAAAATACTTTTGATACATAAATATATTACGTTAGTTAATTATCCTTGTACAAGACAAAATGTACTTACGCAAATACTTGTACAATGTAGTAAATTTTGTAATTTTTTAAATAAACGTATTAAAATTTTTCAAGAAGAAGAATCTTGAAAATTTAAATATAATTTGTTCGACTTTTATTATAACCAGTAATCAATTTTAATTTATAGAAAAAGCTCTTTTATATAAAAGAACATTTTTAATCAATTTGCATTTGAAGCACGATTTCATCTTATGTCTTTTATCTTTGGATATTAACTAGACAGTCATTGCACATTCCATATCCGTTTGTTCATTTATCACGTACGAAAATAAATCTAATACAGCGTAATATCCAATATCCTTTGATGATCCCGTTACGTGCTTTAAGACTTGCATCGCTAATCAGTACATCGTCGAGATGAGATTTCTGACTATCGATCATTCTACGAGATACTCGAACATTATTGCAAGACATCCAGTTTTGTATGACATTTCCTCTATTACTCGATATATAAGACAAAGTATTAGAGATGTGTTCTCTAATAAGCTTAATCATAAATAACAATTCATCACAATTCACAAAAAAGAGAAATGATAAAAAGCGTGTTGAAATACCAATTTCTTTTAGAATACCAATGATATCATATGCTATGTCGATCAAAACTAATCTAGTTTTATGATTTTTTTATGATTTATGAATTTGAATAACAGATAAGAATAAATCTAATTAAATAAAAAAAAAGAATTCTTACACATTCGATCAAAACGGATCTTAGTTTAAAATTTCTGTGTAAATTTTTATAGGTGTCTGATTCCGCAAACAACGCGTCGAAATCTTTTTGAAATCATGAGCAGAAATAGAGTAGTAATATCGCTTATTAAATTGATAAGCGATTTAATTTTTTATGCTAATATAAGCATCTTTATAGAATATTAATAATCAGATATTAATGAGAATCTTAAATTTGCGAATAATTTTATTAATATTAATGATATTATTAATAATCAGATATTAATGAGAATCTTAAATCAACGAATAATTTTATTAATATTAATAATCTGATGTTAACGAGAATCTGCGAAAAATATTACCTCAGCCAGAGTATGAACCTGACCTTCCAACTTTCTGACGTCATACCAATTCGACCACTGAGGCTGATCTAATTTTAATTAAGGTGCCCGTCACAAGGCATAGTTATAAAGAAATCCAGGTTTGAATCTTGGCTGAGATATTTTTCGCAATAAACTCTTGACAATATTTTAAAGATGCTCATTAGCATTAGTATTATTAAATCGCTTTGCTTGTCAATTTAATTTGTAACATTATGTACTCCAGCTTTTTTTAATTTAAGACTATGTTTCAGGATTGACAAATAAATCGGGAAGCAGTTTGCTTGAACTTGTAAGATTCTCTCTCACACAAAAAATATTACCAGACATCAACATCCGTTCTGACCGAATGTAACCTTCTTCGCTTATTTGTATGTTAATCTAATTTTCTTCCTTCACTTATATTAGTGTTATTAATGTTACAGCTATAAAAAGAAATAGTAAAATGTTACTATACGTAAAATTATTATAAAAGCTTCGTTGAACTTAATTAGCGTTTCCTCTTTTTCCGAAATAAACTCAAAAAAATGTTCAGGCCAGCTTATCGATCACGCCAAGCTCGCGAAAAAAACTCAGTGGCCTACATAGCCACGAAATGAGTCACGTATATTAAAAGCAGGGTTTAATTAATAAAACTGATCACGCGCGCGCCGGACAATGACTCACCGTCAGGATTGGTGAAGTATCCCCAGGTAGGAGTCGCAGTGGTCGCCGATTGCACGACCAGAGCCACGACGCTCAGGGCCAGAGCGCCGGCGGCACCCCGTGCCGCGACGGCGCGCTTCTCGCTCCGCTGCGGATCGGTAGTCGTCGTGGCGATCGCCCTTACGCCCTGACGAGTGCTTGAAGAATTGGTTGCCATTCTTCATGCCGTTCGTATTCTTCGATAACGTTCTGCCGGCTTTTACGTCGATGACGAGTCTACGACGAGAGTTCTCTGCGGAGTTGTCGCGGATGCGGGATTGATCACGTTGATGTCAATGGCTTTGGTATCTTCATCGATAATATTGTATGCTGATTTATAGATGATTATTTGCATAAATCAACGAATATATCCCATTAAATCCTTTCTCAGCTTGGAGATATCAATTTATTACAAATGAATTTCGAACGCGTCATCAATACGTCGATATATTATTAATATGGGTATTCTAAAATGTGATCGGAAATCAAACGTGTTTTCAAGCATTAGCACGATTCGATACTATTGACAATCGATTTTTTTCCATTTAATGCTCAACGTTTTTATGTTCATCGTTATTCGTCGTTGAGAAGTAAAATATCTTTATCTTCTATCTTTCGATATAGATTCTGTTTAGATTCTTCCGATTTTTATTAGAGATTACAGACTAGAGTACGATATATATCCATATTCTGGATATAAATGAATTAGTAATCTAAATTTTGTCGTCAGTCAATCTTATTTTTACTTATTTCTTCTTGAAGACCGCTCGAACTGATTCGTTGATAACGATACAGTTTCGATTCCTCAATCGTGAAGCATTCTCAGCATTGTTTGCGGACCTGTCTGTCTAACTTTGATCGTAAACTCAACGATTTTAACAGGAACCAGTTAGCTTCTTCAGGTGTCATCAGGTAGTTTCTTCAATCCCGAAATCTCAAATGTTGTCGTCGTCAATACAGTCGATAATTGAATCTCGTGTCGACCACGTTATCACGTACATACGCATGCAATCGATAAGCCGGTAGCCTGAAGAAAGAAGGGGTGGCAGAGGTGGTTGTGGCTGATGGCTGGGAGTTCGAGGGAATAAGGTGCGGCAGAGTGCATGAGAAGTGCGTATTGAATTAAGCGAATTCCAGATTCTGTGATATTGTTTCCTCGTATCTTCCTCTTTATTCACACATACACACAAACACACACACACACACACACACCCACACACAAAGCCTTGAATCAGATATCACAATGAATTTGTTTGTTGAATCTTTTATTTTCTCTATCCAATTTCTGCTTTATCTATAATTCCTGGTGTTGTCATATACCTTTGAATACTTTAGAAATCGCATCCTAGGGAATTGTCACCTCAAAGTGCCTGATAAGCATATATTTCTCTGTTCCTCTCTTTTCTCACTCTATCTCTGCAACAGAGACAGACATATACGTGTCTTTGTTATCTGTATACGTATTTCTTCCTCCCTCAAAAACCCTTGGCGAAAGCTATCGGTTTTCTTCGTACTCTTGTAGATTGTACTCTGTGTGATGTGGACTCTGTGAAACCGGTTTTTGCGATTGCAAAGCGGCGTTGCTAAAAATAAGATCTCTTCTTTCTCTTTCTTTCTCTATTCCTTTCTATCTCTATTTCTCTCTCCTTCTTTCGTTACTCCGTTTTATCCCCGTTTCTCTCCTTCGTCCTTCCCCCCCCCCTCTCCCTCTCTCGCTCTTCTTTTCTCTCGCCCTTCTTCCCTTCTACCTTCTTGCGTTTGTCTCTCTTCCTCGACTTTGACTCTCTTCGCGTTCCGCTTCGAACGTTCCGGAGAAGGGGAACGAAGATACCGGATCGCGCGCGATGCACGCTAGATCGATCGTTGGACGACGATCGATTCCGTCGATCACCGTCGCGTCATTAACGACGTTCCATTACTAAATCACCTGAAAGATTTCTTTCCACTCGCATCGTCTTCAACGCATGTTTTCCCTCGCGCGTGTGTTTTCGCTTTCTCTCTCTTTCCCTTTTCCCTGTTTCCCGCCGAGAGAAACCCTTTCTTCGAACGTATTACAAAAACGTCACGCGACTCTCTCTCAACATCATCGGCGCGGTTGAACGAGTTGGGATCGTCGGTGAACCCATCCACCTACTCGTCACGCCGCTCCTGGAGGTCACGCGTTGTCCGTTAGGTTGGATTGGCTGGTAGTACAGGCCGCTTGCTATTCACCGAGTCGACTATAGTGCCGCTATAGTTATCGATCGCTTGCGGATACGCTCGCTTCATTTTGTGCCACATCTCAGGCCTACAGGAGTTTCGTAACAAGCGCACCGATCACATTCACGTACGTTCGTTTTGTTCACACGCGTTCCTTTCTTCCTACGCTAGTAGCTGTTACGCGCGTAGCGCGCACTGTACACTGTACTCGATGTACGGGCCGGTTCCAATATCGCTCAATTTTCCCGCTCTTTCCTGCGATAAACTCGCGACACTTGTGCGCGCACCCATTCGCATCGGTTCAATCACTTTCGCCCGTGTGTCACCGTGTCACCCGTCGCGTGTATATGGGTCACGCGACTCGAGTCGTTGTCGCGCGCAGACGTCGCACTGACGCATCGGCACACTCTTCTTTCCCGCATGAAAAAGAAGACGAGTATATATATTTTCCTCGCGTTACCTGCGCCCGTGTTTCGCGGAGCAGCGGCACTCGCGAGCGGCGGCACTCCGTTAGTCAACTCGGTGCACTCGATGCGCGGCGCGACGGCCGACCACGACGTGTCCTCCACGTACCTGTCTGCCGCTGTGCGCGAGTAGTCATGCATAAAAAAAAAAAGAAAGAAATCACGTGCACGTACACATGTGTGTATATATATATATATATGTGTGTGTGTGCGTGTGTGTGTGTATATATATATATATATACACTTATTAAAGCACTCGCGGATACGCAAGAGCAACGTAGAGAGCGCGCAGGAAAAGGTAGGTCGCGAAACGCGTGCGTGCGGAGAAAAAAAAAGCTTACGCCGCGAAATATTTGTACTTGCGTATTACTTTGATGCACGCGCGCGCACGCACGAACGTAAGTATTATATTCGTCGTGCGTAGCTATACGTGTTATACGTACGTACGCGAGGAATACGCGCGGAGCGTGCGTACCGGACGATCGACAATGCGCACGCGAGACGGGAGGGAAGAAAAGAAAGAGAGGACTCGCCGCGCGCGGAAACGAAAACGGGGAGAGAGAAAAGGACAATACGTGTGTACGCGAGCCTGCGCGCTGCACGGCATACTGAGCTCCGATGTCGACCGACGCGGCCGAGTTGCCTGGAACGAACGCGCTCCATCATTTTCTATCTTTTTCCAACCGTACACCCTCTTCTCCTTTTCTCCTTTCGTCGTAACATCTGCTCGCTCCCTCCGTCTCTCGGCGCGTTCACTGTTGTACTCTTCACTCTCGTGATTCCGTGATACTGTCTTGCGTTCGCGAGGCACCTCGCTCCTTTCATTGTGCTAAACCGAGGGCGCAGTACAAGGTGGACTTTTAAACAGGAAGCTGTAAGGGATCAGTTGAATATAAAAGGAAAAGAGATAAATCTACTGAAATATACCGTTTTATCTTATCTCATTTTGATAACTTATAAATGAAGCGATTCGCTTGTTATATCTATGTAAATTTCGAAATGTCATGTCGGGAAAATGTCCTTAGAGGAATGTCTTCTCTCTTTATATGCACACATACTTACACAATGTTAATAGTATGTATTATTATAATATAATATTGATAAATGCTTAATTCGTCTACAGTTTAAATAGTTGAATCAAGGTAATTAAAATAGTAAATAAATATTAATGTAAAATGTAAAAATGTAACTTTTTAATTAAATTCTGTGATTTATTTAGAAGATTCCCTGTGTTTATCGACTACATATTTGTGACTTGATAATAGGGAATAGAAGTATAGTGACGCCGTTACTTTTACCGTTATAATACTTTTTATAATAACGATTCGATAATGACGTTGCAATTGTTTATGACTGTAACAATAACTAACTAAACGTTAAGATTGCACTGAGAGAAATCACTTTGACAAGTAACTTGTCATCATTACGCGTTATTTATTAAAAAAATATAATTCGGTACTTGTAATGCATCGACGCGTTATTTTATTCGTTAAAAGTAACGAGTAAAAGTAACATTGCGAATAATGAGTTACTGTTTTCAGTAATGAGTGACTTCCAATCTATTACAGTAACGACTTACTTTTCCAATTCTGGTGTTGCTGTTATTGCTATAAAAAATTCGCAACGTCATTATCAAATGATTAATATAATCTAGTAGCACAAAGTATTTGTGCAATATTGAGAAACAATGTAGAGCTAATATTAAACATTAGGTAAGAATTGAAACCTCAATATCGGTCCAATACTGTAAAGTAAATGTCTAATCATATTTAGCTAGTATTGATTCAACAATATTGGGGATTCAATTTTTATTCAACGTTTAATAATGGCTGTACATTGTTTTCCAATGTTTCGCCAATATTAGAAAATAATGTTCAGCTAATATTAAATATATAATTGAGTGATTTAATTTCATTATCACACATTATTCTGCAGGATAACACGTGCATGCAAGATGATGCATTAAGCGTTGTGCATGGTACTATATATCACTGCAGGTACAACCGACATAAACCCATTTAAGCTGTGAGGATTTCCGCTTTTGCCGAGTAATTCCACTCTTAGATTTCTTTCATCATATATTCATATTTCAAACTACGAGTTCTTAAAGCTCGGCTTTACGTCTCCACCTCTAAGTCTATTACGTGGATAGATTTTAGAAGTGTTCAACATCAAATCCTACGTTGAAGGTCGATATCACTTTTCATGATTTTTAGTACAATTTATTACATTTAAATGCCAAAGGCAACGCCTTTAGAGTATTATGAAATCTTTAATTTTTGATCTTATATAATCTTACATAATTTAATAATATTATTAATATTATAATAATATTAATATTATAATAATATTATAAATAAATAAATCAGTATATTTCTTTAAAAAAT